TCCCTCTTCCCCCTTCCCTTGCTACTTCTCTGCCACCACCCCCACCCTATTCCTCCCCCTCCTGGTCCTTTCCTTCCTCGCCTGCCCAGCAAATGCGGACCACTATTAACACGTGCACTAAATCCCGCCTAATGGAGCGAATACCCTAGAAACGTCTCAGCCTCAGCTAATAGTGAGGCATCCTACCTGAACCCTCGCTGCCAAGGCCATTATAAACTAATTGGAAAATGAGGGAAGGGATTGATTTTTTTAAATTTATGATGAAATACTTCAGACACAAAATGACTAAAAGGATAAAATATCGAGTTCCGCGCACCGCTACCCGATCTAAAGATGAAACGCGCCCTCCCGCGGCTGCCGCGGAGCCGACCGCCGCCCTTCCCTCCGGGCTCGGGATGTCCCCCGCCGCCGAGGTGCGCGTCCCCGCAGTGCTGCGTGGGGACGGGCGGCCCTCGCCGCCCCCGCCGGACGGCCCGTCTCTTCCCAGCCGGCCGGGCGCGCTCACCTCCGCTCCGGCCGTGTGGCTGCTGAGAAGGTCCTTGCACGCAGCTGCGCTTCCGTCCTGTGGCCGAGATCTCGTGGCCCATCTGATTCTGGCCGGCCAGCGCCCACGAATGGCCACGCTTGCTTCCAGAGCCTTCCTCTCTCCCCAGGAACCCACCACTGGACTGACGGGGCCAGATGAGGGTCGCCTCAAGGAGCGGTGGGCTTCCGCCCCACCCACCCCGTCCCCAAGCACCAGGTCAGGTGCAGGGGCAGGGGACACAGGAGGGCCGCGGGTGGATCCAGCCCTGGCCTCGTGGTGCTCTGGCTTTAGTGGGACACACAGACCGTGCTGCACACCACGGGAACTTCTCACAGCAGAAGGAGCTGGCTAAGAGGGATTCAGAGTCCGGGCCACAGAGGCTTAGCTGCCAGGTGCTTCTCAGGGACAGCGGAGGCCTCAGCCCTCGTCCTGCTGCCACCGGGTCAGGCGGCCATGCCCAGCCAACGCCGCCAGCCCCGGAAGTGCCATGCGCTCATCGGCTGGACTTATCTCACCTGGGCTCCTTGCAGCGGGGTTGGGGCTCCAAGCCCTTTCCAGCTCTAGCTGCCCAGTGGGGGGACCTGGGGACACAGGTGCCCTGTCCACTAGATTGCATTTAAAGGAAACGTTCCTCAAGCACCCTCGGTGTTGAGTTGCTTTGCTCCCCCCACAAACAGGATCTTGCTATGTAGCTTGAAATCACTATGTAGCCCAGCCTGGCCTCAAATTCATGGTGATCCTCCTGCCTCAGCCTTCTAGTGCGGGATTACAGACTTGTGTCACCATGGCTGGCTGTAAGTGTAGTTTTGAAGTCTAAAATTCTTTCATGGAGGCCGGTGAGAAAGCTCAGCAGTCTAAAGCACCTGCTTAGGCAAGCTTAGCGAATCGCAGGGATTGCAGTTCAGTCCCTGGCACCACCAGCTGTGTCAGCCCTGCCCCCAGGGTGGCTGAGCCAGCCACACACACACACACACACACACACACACACAC